GGGCAAGATCCACTGTGCTGGGAGAGAGGGCAGAAGCACCAGCCACTAGCTAAACACCACACCCCCACACCCCAGGTGGAAACGGGCGGCCCTGACACGCTGCTCGTGGAAACATGGGGAGTTAAAAGAAATCCGGCAGCTGCAGCGAGAGTCCACTTGGTGAATCAAGTGCAAAGAGACGCTGAAGTCTGCATTTTACAGGTGAGTAGCAATAGAGAAGAAAACACTTAACCTGATTCTCATCTGCAGAAAGTGAGGTCCTGACTGAATGTGCGCAGTTCTAGGAACCCAATCCCTAGCTGACAGACAGCGGGCACCCCAGGGGAGGAGCCATGACCAGATAAGGGAAAATGTGGATTTTTATCCCTTGCAGATAACTTCCATTAAGCTTCAACTTGACCACACTCCCTTCCTTTACTGATCCTTTACATGGAGCACATTGTTGCGGTCTCTTTGTCTATGCTTGGAGTTTAAAGTCATGTCTAGTTGACTATTGTATATTTACATAGCTAATGTAATTATCGCTAATCACATAATTACTGGAAATGTGCATAATTGCCTGAGCCAAACATATAATTATAATGTATAGCAACATTATGAATCCCCCTTTTAAAATCCACATTTCGGGGCTATTTAAAAATGGGTATTTATTAGAAACGATCGTGGACTACCTAGAGATGGCCAGCTTCAACACGGTTTCTGTACAAAGTGCTGGTAAGTGCTTTCAAGACCAAAACAGGTACAACAAAATAGCCTACAAATAGAAGACGAAGTGATTCTGGTCTGAGTCTGCTGACTCCTCTCTATCTGTAGGGAAATACCAGCCAGTCCCACTCTATGGGCTCCCGTGGGTGTGAGCAGTGGAATGAAAGCTGCTGTGAGGGAAGATCCCCCAGGTGCCCGAGTGCCTCTACCACCTCAGCCATCTGGAAAACCTGGAGGCTCGGAGACATCTTTGCTTCTAGAATATTCTGGGACCATGAATAAACTTTCTTAGGGGCACGCCACATTGAGATGTAGTATTCTCTCACAGTGACACGCTCATCCCATTGAGAAGAGGAGAACGCCACTGAAGGAAAGTCTTCTTGTACCTCATCTGTGCAACATCTTCTGACTCCTCTTGTCCTCCTTGGTGACGAAACTGACATAGAAAGACTCCCAGAATGTAGAACTACTCCTGTGTTCAACGGATAGCAGTTGGTCTCTATTTTCCCCATGTCCGTGCAACCAGCCCACCTTCTCACCTCCTTCTACCTCTATGCTCATTGTGAAAATATCCTAGAGACAAGACATGTTGGATAGGATGGTTTATTTAAAAGGAGGTTCCCATCATTCATTTTTCTCCTGTAGAGGAAGGGGAGAGTCCTCTCCTGAGTTATGTTTCAAAGGGGGTGCTAATCATAGCTCAACTCATGCAATCACCAAGACCATTTTTCCACGTGTGTAAGACGTTCCAACAAAATAAAGTAAGATGAAATATCTACATTTTCCAAATTACATTCTCCATAGCCACAGCAAAGGATGGTGTTTAGTGATTTATTCTACCATAACCCATAATAAGGTGTTCTAACAAAAAGTCATCAGCAAAGCCATTCTGGTATATTACCCTTCTACAAACCCAGAAAATGCTTTTCTGGGCTACTTTTGCAATACTGAATGATAGTAAGCCCTTTCTCTGACCAACAGATATTTGGGGCAAAATTACACCAGCTCTGCCATGATGTAGTAACACAGTGAAACTCTGATGGTGCAATTCGCAAATGCAATATATCAATTATGCCAGCAAACTTAACAGAGTGGGAAACCAAGACCTAAATTATACACCAAAAAGGGGAGATGGCAGCCTGGCCCTGACCAGCGCCTGTTTTCACACCCTGCTCCATAAGAATTCTTACACACCAGCACTCTAGGACTGTTTGATATCAGGCATTAGTAAGAGCAGAGAACAAACTATAAATATCAAAACAGAGCGGTCACTTTAAAAAGAAAGATTAAAATCTGGCTTTTAAGTCAGCTTGAAAGACCATTATTCCAACTGATTTGGATGGAGTCCCAAAGACCGGCTGGTGAGAAGCAAAGCTATACTCTGCTCTGTGCTTAAAGCACGACAGAAACATCCCGTGGGGGTGGGGGTGGGGTGGGGGAGGGAAATGAGAAGGTGCAGCCCGAGTCAGATTCTGCCCTCTACCCTGTTTTCCCTCGGCTTTGACTCAGAGCCACAAAGGGCAGAGTGGCTAGGAGTGGCCACAGGGAGACCTTGAGGTTTCCAGGAGGAAGAGGCTGGGCCTTGGAAGGCAGGCAGGAATTCTGGAAGCAGCATCCGTGCAGGGATAATGCTCAGATTCCACCAGACTGGCTAGGCTGGAGCAAAAGTGTTCATTAAAGTGAGGGAGGGGGAAGGAGTGGGACCCAGGAGGGCCTGTATGGCATGGGATCCCACAGCCGGGGTTTGTGCTGGGGTCTTGAGGTAGGCGGGAGGACAGAATTCTGGAGATTTGTTCCCAGAGACCAAGAGCCGAGATGACAAAGTTCCTATGAACCCAGAGCGGCTACAACAGAGCAAGGCAGCTTTCATGCTTTTAATCAAAAAAATCAAAAACAAGGAGCTATAGGAAGTCCTGGGGGGCGGGGCGGATATTGGCAGAGGGAAGGAGACCATAGTTGGCGGGGCGTGATGGACGTTCTAGAAGAATATTAAAGAGCGGTCAGCTCGGGTTTACAGAACAGATACTGGTAACAGTCAGAAGCCAGAGATGCAGACGCATGAGGCCTTCAGGAGGAACTGAATCCACGGAACTGATCTGAGAGAAAGACCAGATAAGCAACAGCAGACTGCCCGGGTTCAGGGGCACACAGACCGACTGCTCTGCGCCTCACTGGTCGCAGCTGGGAAATGAGCACCACCTGTCCTGGCCTGAAAAACCTGCTAAGTCGGTGCCTCAACACGAGGGTCACAAACGAACCACCTTACAGCAGCTGTTACCTGGAACGGGACAGCAAGCCAACGTCTGGGATCGTGGATTACAAGTAACACCCGAGTAAGTGAATTTCACATGTCTGTCTTGATGGCACCTACTGAGAAATTTTAAAAATGGTAGCTGCAACCAGCTCAGGAATGTCATTCACGGATGAAGCAGATACTGAAACTTCAGTTATAAAAAGCGGGTGGGAGGTCGATGGATCATGCTCGGGAGAGGGGGTCTGAAAGAGCCGTCAATGGTTTTGCCCTTGCGGACAGCCCTAACAATATAGAGGGGAAAGGCCACAGGCTCTCCAATCCCATTCTCGTCCCCGATGGGGTACGTCTAGATAAATCCTGGGATCCTGGGGTGGGGTGGGGTGGGGGTGGAGGCAAAATCAGCACACAGGCATTCTGCCTACGAGCCTTGGAGAGCTGATTCACTAAGTTTTCCGAACAGTAACCTAAAACGAAGCACCTTTCCACCAGAGGTGAGAAGTAAACTGAATAAATCCCCACAGGATCAGGTGAACCCAGATGGTGGGACCCGACCAACCAAGCAGTTCGCCTGGGCTCTTCAAGGAGTGTCAGTGCTTCTGAAAGTCAAAAAGGCCAAGAAAAAAATGTTTAGACGAAGGGGACCAAGGAGACATGGCAACTAAAGGGGTCCCTTGATGAGTTTCTGCACAAACCAAGCAGCTGGAAACAGATGCACGGGGAAAATGAAAATAGGCGGTCTGTATTAGAGAATGCTGCATTGAGGTTCAGTCCCCTGGGCGGGGGGGATTATGGCACTGTGTTTACATCAGGAGAGGTCCTAAAAGGGGACACATGCCATAGGTCCTTGGGAGTGAACTGCCACATCTTCAACTTTCGTTTCGATGGTTCTGGAAAGTCCACCCACCCATTCATATACACACACACACGTATCACTATCTGTACATCTATAGGAAAGCAAGTGACAGCAAATGTTCTCAGCTGGTACATGCAGTTGAAGGGAGTCTCAGTGTCCCTTCTAGTCCATCGATCTTTCTGTAGGTTTCAAACTTCTGCCATGTTTAGCAAAACCTTTAAATCCCAAACCCCCGACACGGCAGCAGAACCCAGGGCTGTGGGAGGGCCAGTGAACAGTGCTACGCTCTGGTGTCACGGAGCTCTTGCCGGGCACACAGTCACCTGGTACAACATGTCCTTGATGCCTCCACCCCGTGCGGCTGGACCAACCGTTCCATGTGCGCAGCTGGTGGTCCAAGCAGAGTGCGAGCGCATGCGGGGTGGGGGAGCTGCAGAGCCCACCCTGCCGGGCGGGGGTGCTGCGGGGCTGTCCTCTGCAGCCCCCATCACAGACCCTGCAGCCAAGTCACCGGTCACAAGGCTGGGCCGACCCAGTGGGCAGCGCGGCCATGGCTGCCAGGAGCACTCAACCCCACGCCCGAGGCCGTGCGCTCTGGATTTCTTCCCGCTCCCTAATTAGGAGGGGATGGTGTTTAATCAACATCTCAGAGGTTCGTCCCCAGGTTTCCATTAGATTTTAATTATGTTTATTTTTCCTTTCATGAATAAAACACTTCCAGACATTTTCAAAGATACCAGGGATGTGAACACATAATGAGGGGCAACGCTGGGCTCTTCAGGAGTATCTTGGAATTCATCACTGGGAATACCTTAATCAGAAACAGATAAAAGTCCAGAACCTCAGAAAGTGAAAAAAGATGGCCCTGTTACATGGTGTCCTCTCATCTGCAGGGTGACCTTAGGGTGTGCGCAAGAAACAGATGGAGGACCACTCCCTCCCCAGCTGTCCTCCTAGCCCCACCGCCTCCCCCGGGGGCCGGGCACCCCTGCGCGCAGGTCAGGTCTGGTGACCACGCGGCCCAGGACCCGGGTGGGGGGTGCTAGGGCCGGGGGTGGTTTCTGGCTGCAGTGGGTTTCAGTCTGAACCGGGAACCAGGTCCCCACGGGTCAGCGGTGAGCGGGGCGAGGGTTCCAGGGCGGGACTACGCACCTTTGGTTACAAACCGCCAATCACGCTGGCTCTTACCTTCACAAATTCTGTCCAATCGCTGTCGCTTGACTTTGTGCTTATCCACAAGGGCCATTCTTTATCGAACTTTGCAACTCTCTGATTCAAAAGGCAAAGCGGTCCTCTAAGAACTTAGGGGAACGCGCAGGAGTCTGCGGGCATTACGCCACTATGAACCCTGAAACAAGGAGAAAAGAATCCTTACTCTCTGGACAGCCTGGGGGCAAGGACAACAGGTCATTCAGGATTTTATTGCCCCTTCCTACAAGGGGACCTGCCACCAGTGCTCACTCTCTTCCCTCCAACACGGGAGATGGAGGTGGTTCTAGTCCGCTGTCCCGGTCTCCCACGCTCCGTCTCAGACAGGAAGGGAGCGGACGCACAAGACGATTGTTACTTGCGTCTGCAAGCAAGTAAATGGCAGCATCTAGAGCTCGTGCTTTTAACTTCAGGGCCGTCCACGCCAACTGCCGACAACCTGAACTGTTAGTAATTCGTACTCCGACGCCAGAGACCACGCTATGGGGCCAGCTGGGCCTGCCCTGTGCTGAACACAGAGGGGCGGAGCCTCGGGGGGGACAGAGCATCAGGGGAGCAGGTCCCAGGCCCACTGGCACTGAGATACAGACACCCAGCTGGGGCTGCAGGACAAGTTCTCTCAAGGCCTTCCACCAGGCAGTTTACGCGATTTCCCCCCGAGAGCCGCTGCTCAGCACGACACCTGGCCCTGACCCCACCGTAAGAGGATGGGGCAGGAAGCCACGCGCCACCTAACCACTTAAGCAAAGTGCTGGTCCAGGGCCACCTTCCTGGGCCTCCTTGGCATCTGGAGGGAGCCACAGATGGCATCGTGACGGCCGTGTCCAGGCTGCTGGCCTTGACACCGGGCAGCGGCGACCGGGCCCACGCCCGTCCGCGGCATTTCGGGCAGAAACGAGGCAGAGGAGGGGTGGCTCCCATTTGGGTTGAGGGCTGCAGGAGTCTCCAGAGGGAGAGCCACATGCCATCCGAGGAATGGGGAGCTGCTGCCCAGCTCGTTTGTGGAGGGAGGCTGGGGGGGGGGTAGTGTTCTGGAAGGCTCTGACCATCACTTCCTGCTCATCCAATGTACCAGTTGAGGCCACAAGTCACTATCTGCCCCCCCACAATGTCCGAGCTTTTTTGACTCATTGCTGTGGTCTTATTTTAACAACATGCACACGCACAGAAAAAGTTGTCCTTAGTTACCCAGCAAATGAGGGGGGATAGAAGACAAAAGTGAGGCTCCAGGGTTAATAATGAGGATTATTATGTATGGTCATCAATTATGCAAAAACGCTGGGAGTTACTTTATCAAAGGTCAGAATACGGGTCTGACTAGGAGAAGGCAGACTTCCTGGTAGTTAATGGCTTATTTCCCAGCAATGAGGTGCACCCCAAAGATTTATGGCAATAATTACACGATTTTTTTTTAAAAGAGCTAGGAAAAAGCACAATTTCCAATCACATAAATAATTAATGCAACATCCCAGGGATACTAAGCCCTACCCAAACCTGGGGAGTTCCCCAAACCTGCACTGGCCACACCAGACTAGGGAGGGGATGAAGGTTGTCCGAAAGCAAGTGGGTCAACCAACACTTGGGAGGTCCCCGGTGCAGATGTGAGGGACACGTTATAAAAAATTCTGGTTTTGCTTTTACTGGGCTTTAGGAAAGGCACGGAGCGAAAGGGATTCCTAACTCAAGCAAACGGGAGACAAGAGTCCCAGACAGAGGGACAGCAAGGCCTCAACCCTGCACACGAATGCTGGGGCTCACAAGACACCCACGGGGCGGCCCCGGGCCCCAGAGCTCGGCCTGGCAATTTCCATCTGCTTGGGTCCCGAGTTCTGCTCATCAGGCTGCATTGTGGCCCCTCTCCTCCATGCCCGCGTGAAGTCAGAACCTCGTGTTAGCCGAGGGGTGAGAGAATTAATTAGTTAATATTTGTGAAGTGCCTTAGAGATGAAAAATGACAGCATTATCATCCTAGGCAAGTCAGCTTTCACACCCTCCTCCTCCCATTCTCCAAGTGAGGCCTAATCATTCTTTTTGCTTTGCTTTGAATTTTAATTTGTATAATTAGATGGAGTCCTGAAAAATTGATAAGTAGAATCTCGATTATGCAATCAAAGGAAAGATCAGGCATCGCCTTACACAAATAGTCTGTGTCCTATTATTTAAAAAAAAAAAATGAAGAAAAAGGGCAATGGACTCCCACGTCTGGGTATTTTTGGGGCTGGGTGTGTGGGTGGGTGGGGGTCTCTATGCTGGCCCCTCTGTGGGGCCCCCTCTGGCTGTGGCACCCGCCCATGCTGACAGTGAATTGAGACTCACAAGGCCACCAGGCAGAGCCCGGTCAGGACCTCGTGGCAGTGACCGCTGATTCACAGAGCCTCGTCCCTTTCCCCTCAGTATATCTTCTGAAGCAAGAATGTATGAAATGTGACATTTTCCTCCTCGGCTCTCCCGGGGAGCAAGCTATTTATGAGGACTTAACTAGCATACCCCTCTTCCTGATGACAGGGACAGGCCCTCCTCAGAGTGGAGCCACGAGCTTCGGTCTCTAGCTGGTGTCCACACGGGGATGGCCAGCACCCTGCGCCCTCCATGCTGGCCCCGGGCTCCCCGGGCAGCGCCCGCTGTGAAAGCCACCATCCGCCTTTACCTTATACCAGTCTCCACTCACAAATCAGGCCCTTTTCTGCCCCTGAATTGATCACCACTATCATCACTCAAGTCCGTGTTTAACAACAAATCGAGGTACACATAGAAGAGAAAAAGGAGGGGGGATGTGTCCCACTGTCCTTCTTTAGTGCAAACCATACAACTTCGAACCACGGGCATGGTGTTGTCACAGGGGGGAGCAGAATTCTAGAACCTACTTGCGTAATGACCGAGGGGAAGCAGGCTCCGTGTTTGTAAAAAAAAGGGATGTTTTTACGTTCCTTGCCCGCGGTAGCCAGCCGTGGACACCGCTCCCTCCGGCTGAGGCTGGGAGGGCGACCTCAGTGGAACTCAAGAAGGGTCAGAAGGAAAGTCAGGTCTTCTCACAAGTAGGATCACCAATGCCAAATCTTACAGAAAAACCACCGTCTTCTCCTCCAAAAGGGAGATCCTAAAATTGCAGGGCAAACCACAGAAGGGCCCACCTGACCTTCTATTAGCTCGAGATGAGGGGTGATCCAGGGCTGAAAGGTCTGCGGTCAGTGAATCTGGCTCATTGTAGAAGGAGAAAGATGCCTGCATGAGAAAGATACTTAGATTCTGGTCGCCACCAGAAAGCAGCCGCAAGGGTGGGAGATGTGTTCCCTGTGGGTTTCCAAGAGAAACTGGAGATTTAAAAGGGGCAGCAAACAGGAAGTGCACTTCATTTTATGACCACTTGCTTGTTTATCAAACACAAAACAAACACCCAAAAGCGAGTACAAGAGAAATGGGTTGTTCCCCTCATCCAACAATGTCTAAAATCTAGGTGGATTGATTTTTACTGAATAGGACCATTAACAGCCCACCTGCCCGGACCAAACTCCACAACGCACAGAAACCCCAAGTCCTTACTCATTTACATTCGTAAAATCACAAGTTTTAAAATACGCCCTCAGTTTCTTTATTCTAATTCCTAGTCTCCATAAATATTAGGCAGATGATAAGAAGTTACACCCAGTAATTGATGTCTTTCCAAATGAAAATTCTTCTAAAACCATGGCAATCGCCTTCAATTCTTTTTAAGGAAATCTACTTAAACATTACGTTAATAAAGAGAGACCAAGCTGTACGATGAGTCCTCAATATATTGCACGGTTCTGCCCGCAAGGGGGTTAGAGTTTCGGCTTGAGAGGTTGAGATGATCCAGTGCAAGGAGAAAAGGCCCCCACAGCCCCCCAACAGCGTGGGTACAACAATGGCTCCCACCTTTCCGAGCTGGGATCCCCGAGGGGATGATGGCACCACTCCTCAGGTCTCCTTTGCCCCATCCTACAAGGCTCTAGTGATGTCCACAGGCTTGCTCACCAACCTGGGAGTGACCCAGCAGGGCAGCAGGCCAGGTACCTGCTGGCAGGCCAAGGTCAGCATATTTAGTGCCTTGACAATGCTGATCCACCGAGGCCAACTGCCCAGAACACTCTCGACTCTTCATCGAGACCCAGTGGAGTCAAGTGGTCCTCAGGCTACCGCCAAAAGGACCTGTTCCAGCATTTTCAGAAGCCAAACTGGAACAACAGATTCCTTTCTTGGGGAGACGGCTGGGTAGAATCCTCTGTACAGGGGATCTGGGTTTTGTTCGGTAAAGTCTATCTGAAGAAATATTCTATAGGGGTCAGGGATCAACGGGAAAAACACTGGCTTAGCCTTCGGGAAATGGTTGACATACTAGCACAATGAACAACAAAATTATTAAAACTGCATTTTAAGGAAGAAAAGGAAGCTTTGGGGGGGAAGATCAATTGTGGGAAATAAGCTCACTGAAGTCAATTTTGTAAATGTCTCAGACCCACTACTGCTCTTGGATTATTTCCTCAGTAGCTTTGGGCATATTTAAGGTTTTTCCTTTTCTTTTTTTTGAAAGGGGAAACCAATGGTTCGGACATCAAGTGGCATATCATAAGTGTAGAGGTGACTCCCAGCCCCACAGGCCCACCCCAGGCCCCAGAAGGAGGTAAGCGGCAGGACTAAAGTAAGCCTCACTCTGGTTCCTGGAGCCAGACCTGTACACCGTTTGGTAAGGCTGCTCACCTTTCCCCCAGGGAACTCCTGGCAGCCCGACTCGAGGGTGACAGGGTCACACCGTCACACCCTGGTCACATGCCCTCCATCAATTCCACGGGCCCCACCCTCTGATCATCAGAAGTGCACGGTCAGCATCAAGTACCATTAGCAGAGGCCCACCGCACTTATCCAGCACCCAGGGGCCAGGCGAGCTTCAGAAGTCAGAAGCATTTGGATCTTTAAGAAGCAAGAGAGTGCCTACACCGTGTTATGGTAGACCCCCAGATCAATCATTAGAATTTCTGCACCAGGACACAAGAATATGCTCACCCAACTGGATGAACATACAGGATACAATTACCCTCAACAATTCAGGCCAGGTAAAAAATCTGCTGCCAAATGGGTTACCAAAGAATTAAAGGTTCCAGAACTTTCTACAGTTTGGATGTGAGGCTAAGGAATTGTGGGC